GGTCCCCCCTCACCGCCCCCCCTGCTGGCCTGGTTGCTCCATGCAGCCTGGTGTTCAGTCGTTTGGTCGTCCCTCACTAACCCCCCTGCTGGCCTGATCGCTCCTAACTGCCCTCCTCTGCCGGCCTGATGTCACCCCCAGCTGCCTCTGCCTGCCTGATCACCCCTAACTGCCCTCCCCTGCCGGCTTGATCTCACCCCCAATGGCCCTCCCCAACGGCCTGATCTCGTCCCTAACTGCTCTCCCCTGCGGACTGATCACCCCTAACTGCCCTTCTCTGCTGGCCTGATCTCGCTACCAACTGCCCTCCCCTGCCGGCCTGATCTTGCCCCCAACTGCCCTCTCCTGCAGGCCTGATCTCACCCCCAACTGCCCTCCCCTGCCAATTTGGTTCTGATTGGTTGGTTTCTATGCCAGTCAACGTCAAAAGCTCCACCTCCTAGGCGGCTCCTTGCACTTCACCCAGATTTGATTCTGATTGGTCGGTTTCTATGCCAGTCAGCGTCAAAAGCTCCACCTCCTAGATAGCCATTGGCTCCTCGCACTTCACCCAGATTTGGTTCTGATTGGTAGATTTCTATGCCAGTCAGCATCTCCAGGTGGGGGCCTGATCAGGGAGGTGGGGCTGATCAGCAGAGAAACAGAGGCGTGGTTGCTGGCAACGGCTAGAGAGAAAGAGAGAGGCAACAGCTGATCAACAGCTGCTATGGAGGCTGCAGATCAGACCCTGCCTCTCTCTCCGGTCCTGATCCGCAGCCCCCTTGGCAGTCAGTGCTGGGTCGCCATGGCAACCCAGCACTGACTGCAGGACTGACTTCCCGTGTTTGGTTGAGACTTTGGTCTGTCGTTACAGACCCTGGGTTTTTATATATTAGGATATTCTTTGGTTTGGAATAACAAGGACTAAGGCTAAAGAGTTAAGTTTGTGGCCTGAGAAGTTGAGGGGTAAGTACATTAAGGAGAAGTTGTAAAAAAATACAAATCTGCAATCTCAGGAAATGAGCTCTGTTTTTTATAGTCACCTATGCTGGGTGTTAGACTCTTAAATGAAAAGAGCCCAGTATGTATGCAGTTCATTAAACTTTCTAAGGGAATGAGCATATCACTGTGGATATTTCCGTTTTTGCTTATTATCTTACAAAGGAATAAACTGCTTGGTTAACTTGAAGTACTGAGTTGTTATTTATCATTTGAATACACAGTGAAATTATTTTGGATATAAATTTAGTTGGACAGTTCTTGTTTTTTAAGTTTTTAGGGCAGAAATATTATCAATTTCTTTTTTTTATCTTAATGGCAAAGTGAGCCATAAAGAGTTAGGAATAATACCTACATTCAGGATAAAAGAAGAGAAACACTTGACTGTAAAGATTGCTTGAAGGCTAAAATCTACTAAAAACAGATTCCACTCTGGGAAGTTTTCAACAATGGCTAGGGTATTTTTCCTATAACAGGATTAATAAATGTGACAAACTTACCAACATAAGCCTACAGGGCTTTCCACATGTGTTTTTAAAATTGATTTTGAAGAATTATAATTAATAAAAGCTTTTGTAACTAAAAAATGGTCCATGTTAGGAAGGAAGTGAAGCTGTTGGACTTGATGTGTTTGACCTTTCTTTTTCAGTCTCAGCTTTTCCTCACTAGCCCATTATCTGTCACATTTTTCCATCTAAGAAAAGCCCACTTGTAGCTTGCAGAAAACTCTGGAAATGCTATTGGAGAAAATAGCAGAGGCGGTACCATCCCCGGCGTAGCAGAGGGCAGTGTGTTGTCAGGTGCCCACTCCCCTCCTGTTACCATGCTGACTCTCATTCTGTGCAGTGCGGCTTCCTGTTGTGGTGCATGGCCCCGAGCCCTTCCAACGGGGCGGAACTGCTCTACAAGCGCATCATCCGTCCTATCTTCCTAAAGCACGAGTCCCAGGTAGACAATGTGGTGAGCGACTTGAAGGACAAAGCCAAAGAGACTGCAGATGCCATCGCTAAAGAAGGTAAGACTCGGGGACAGTGTGGTGCAGCATGTGAGAGGGGAGGTGATATACTGGGCTCAAGCAATAGCCTTCATGGCCTTCTTGTCCTGTTAGCTTTCCCCAGCCAAATACCAAGAGAATGACCTAGAGCAGTGGTTCTCAATCTTGGCTGCACATTAGAATCACCTGGGAATCTTTTTAAAATCCTGATTTCTGGGCCTCATCCTCCGGGAAATTCTGTTTCTTTGTTACTAATTGGGGCCACAACATTAGTAACAAAGAAACAGAATTTCCGGAGGATGAAGCCCAGAAATCAGGATTTTTAAAAGATTCCCAGGTGATTCTAATGTGCAGCCAAGGTTGAGAACCACTGATCTAGAGGGATTTCTCTACCAAGACTTTGCCTGTTGTCCTTTACTTCTCCCAAGATTCTTCCTCCATGCCACGTTTAATACACCATTTAGTCAGCATATCAGAACAAATGACTTTTGTGGTGGGCACAGATTTCAGAGAATCATATGTATTTATATTCAAGTACATCTCTTTAATTCATTTTAGGTGGAACTGCTTAATATGCTGTTCAAATTGCTTTTGCTACAGGTCCCAGAGAATGCCCTCTCTCAGCTCTCTGATTCATTCGTTCAATAGATACTTATTGAGGTGTTTAATATGTGCCAAGCATGTTCATAGCCCTGGGGATGAACTAGTGAACCATATCATACTCCTTGAATTCGTGAAGATTTATAACCTTATTGAGAGAGAGAATTAAATTTAAAACTAAATTATATGGTATAGTTAATAGGTGATAAAAAGAAAAATGTAGCAGATAAAAAGACAGGGGGTGCTAGGGGCTGAAGGAAAGGTTGCAGTTTTAAAGAGAGTGACTTAGGAAATCTTCACCAATAAGGCTATACTGAATCAGACATGGAAGTGGTAAAGGAAGGAACCATGGAGAAGAATGCTCTAGACCAGGGGTGGGCAAACTTTTTGACTCGAGGGCCACAATGGGTTCTTAAACTGGACCGGAGGGCCGGAACAAAAGCATGGATAGAGTGTTTGTGTGAACTAATATAAATTCAAAGTAAACATCATTACATAAAAGGGTACGGTCTTTTTTTTTTTTTTAGTTTTATTCATTTCAAACAGGCCGAATCCGGCCCGAGGGCCGTAGTTTGCCCACGGCTGCTCTAGACAGAAGGAACAGCACATGCAAAAGCCTGGAGGTGTGAACAGGTAATCTCTACCTAGGAGGAGAGTAGGAGACAGTTCAGAGAGGTTAAAGAGTGAGGATGGCAGAGGATAGATCATGTAATGCTTGGTAGGCTATTGTACAGGCTTTGGCTTTTCCTCTGGGTAAGATGGGGTGCGGTTGGAGGATTTTGAACAGAAGAGCAACACGATCCATCCTGTGCTTGAACAGGGTCATTTTGGCCACTGTGTTAAGATTAGACTGAAGGGAGATGGAAGAGATCAGGAGACCAGTTAAAAGGTCATTGTGGTAATCTGGCTGGAGATGATGCTGGTGGCTTGGTTCATAATGGTAGCAGTAGGAAGTAAGTCCTTGGATTCTTGATAGATTTTGAATGTAGAACCAATAGGACTTGCTTACGGAGTATGAGAGAGGAGTCAAGGATGAGGCCAAGCTTTTTAGCCCGAACACATGGTGGAAAGATATAATTGCCATTGAGCTGGGGAAGACTGGGTGTGATAAGTTGACGGGGGAAATAAGGAATTCAGTTCTGGACATGACTTTGAGACATCTGTTAGGTACCTACATGGAGTAGTCAAATAGCAAGTTGGATATAGACATCAAGAGTTCAGGAGACATGTCTGGGCTGAGGATATGAATTTGGGTGTCACCAGCACATAGACAACGTAGTAAGCATGAGACTGAATGAGATCACTAAGGGGGTGAATGTGGTTAGAATAAGAGGCCCCCAATGTTTAGAGATTGAGAAGATGAGAAGCAACCAGCCAAGCAGACTGATAAGGAGTGGCCAGTTGAGGTAGCAAGAAAACCACGAGACATATCATTGGAGCCAAGTGAAGAAACTGTTTCAAAGCGGAGGAAGTGATCCATAGTGTCACATGCTGCAGACAGGTCACGTCAGATAAGGGCTGAAAACCGAGCATGGGACTTAGCAATGAGGAAGGCACTGTGATCTTGACAAAACAGATTTATGTGGTGGTGGGAGCAATATCCAGATTGGAATGGATTTGAGAGAAATGGGAGGAAAAGCATGAGAGAATGTACACAACTGTTTTGAGAAATTGCCTGCAAAGGAACAGAAGAATTGGGATATAACTGGAAAAAGGAACTGTCCTGAGGATTCCTCCTCCCCCCTTTTTCCTTAAAGGTAAAAGAAACAAAGTATGTTTGAAAATTAATGGGCATGATCCCGTAAAGAGCAAGAGGATGACAGAGTGAGAGGTGGTCTGTCCTTGACTAGACCAGAGGGCATAGGATTTAGTGTACAAACAGAGGGCTTGGTCGTAGGAGCAGGGACAGTTGATAATAACAGGAGGGGAATCAGGGTTTATGGGTGAAATGCTGGTAGGTGAGGTGGGAGCTTATGGAAGTAATTTTTTGATGGCTTCAAATTTCTCAGTAAAATAGGAAGGAAAGGTCAAGTGAAAGAGGATAGAGAAGGAAGGAATGAAAAGAGAAGTATGAAATAGTTGTCTAGGGCCAGGGCCAGCAAACTTTTCCTATGAAAGGCCAGATATTTTCATTTTTGCTGGCCATCAGGTTTGTGTTGCCGGTACTCACCTCTCCCATTGTGTACTGTGAAAGCAGCTGGGGATGGCATGTTAACTCGTGAATGTGGCTCTAATTTGCAGGCTGCTCTGAGACAGTGGGAGGAGTGGAGTGCCCAGGACAGCATCACATGATTGCCAGGCAGTTTTAAAGGCTCACTTGAGATTTGTGTCCATGGATTTAAAGTGAGACTGGTGTGACTGTGTTTTTCTCCAGCCACATTCAGAATAGGTGGAGAGTTGTGTCCAGGTTAATTTTGTTAAGAACTATGAAGTGAGAGTGGGACTAAGGAGTGGCTAGTATTTGATGATGGAATTTAAGTTGGGTGAGCAGCGAAGTGAGGAACAGAGGCAAAGACCAATGGATGAGAAAACCAGGTGGTGGAGGAAGAACTGACTCAGCAGAGTAGAAGGAGTGAGCTACAATGGTAGGAGGAGATAGTGCCATGGTGTGCTTGACATTGAGATTATAGAAGGACTGAATTTATTGGTAGTGACAAAGATATTGAGTGAGTGCCTGCGGTAGGCAGAGTAGGTAAGTAGGTAGGAGGTAAAGGTTATTGGAGGGGAGGAACTAAGAGGTAAGGATAGTGGAAGGATCATGTATATCTATAAGGATATTGAAATCACTAATAATTCAAATAGTAATGGTATTAGAGAATGATAACTGAAGCAAAATTCTTAAATAAGGCAGCATAGCCCAAGGGTCAGAGGTGACTGGAAAAAGAAATGCTAGTGGAAGATAAACTCTCATGGCATGAGCTTCTGAATGTGGCCATGAAGAACCCACGATCACACTTTGGTACTAGGGTCATGGAAGAAAAAAACAAAAACAGCCACCATATGAGAAAGTGGCATCCTCAGAGGACAACATATTTCTGTAAAAGCAAGGAGGTCAGGGAAATATTTGGAGAAATGGATGAGAATAGAGATTTGCTGTTGATGGGTCTTAAGTTCCAGAGGGCACAGTAAGGGTTTGAAGAAATTGGAGAAAAGTGGGCAGTGGACATGGAAGTAGGGAATGTTGTTGTTCGAGCTCTATGATAATTAGGAAGTGGGAGAGGAGGGCCACCTGACCACTGAGGAGGAAGATCCCACCCAGACAGCTCTCCAGCGGTACTGATGCCCCAGCACTGTGTCCTCATTCCTCCCTCACCGAGCTCTCCTCTGAACCCCTGTGTCTGTACTAGAGCACCAGTCTACTTGAATACGTTTTCCTACAACCTTAAGTGTAACGTGTAACTTTCACATGCTCCCACTTTGGAATCACCAGTTGCTTTTTAGGAACCTTCTTTCCTGTTCCTCCTTATCCTCAGTCTAGCCATCAGCCTCTGGTGATGTCATTTCTGTCTAGTTAGCCCACATTTCTTAGCCTCTTGGTTCTCTTAGAGAACTGTTCTCTTAGAGAGCAGTACTCTAAAATCCAATTTTAGTCCAATTTTACTGTGGTATGATACATTCCTAAACAGGGGAGTGAGAATGAAAATGAGGAGGAACTTACATGCTGTTACATATTAGACTTTTCTCAAAGCTTCTGGAGAATCCAGAAGTAAATTTTTGCAAAGGGCTAGTTAAGAGAGAGGCTACAATTTGTTAACTTTGTTCAGCAATTTTAACTGAATGAAGGGAGAGCAGCTGCCAGGTGGTGAACAAGGAGGGACTTGGCTCTGATCACTGGACTCGGGCTCCATCAACAACAGCTGCAGCTGTGGAGTCTCAGGAGGCCCTGCAGGCTTCCAGAAATGCCCCCCTCCTCCATCTCACACACCACACTAATTCTCACAGCACATTCCAAGTTACTGGTAGTTAGGAAGGCTTAGTCTCCCACAGATGGACAACTATATATATACTAGAGGCCCGATGCACGAAATTCATGCAAGGGGCTCAGCCCAGAGAGGAGTCAAGGATGAGGCCAAGCTTTTTAGCCCGAACACATGGTGGAAAGATATAATTGCCATTGAGCTGGGGAAGACTGGGTGTGATAAGTTGACGGGGGAAATAAGGAATTCAGTTCTGGACATGACTTTGAGACATCTGTTAGGTACCTACATGGAGTAGTCAAATAGCAAGTTGGATATAGACATCAAGAGTTCAGGAGACATGTCTGGGCTGAGGATATGAATTTGGGTGTCACCAGCACATAGACAACGTAGTAAGCATGAGACTGAATGAGATCACTAAGGGGGTGAATGTGGTTAGAATAAGAGGCCCCCAATGTTTAGAGATTGAGAAGATGAGAAGCAACCAGCCAAGCAGACTGATAAGGAGTGGCCAGTTGAGGTAGCAAGAAAACCACGAGACATATCATTGGAGCCAAGTGAAGAAACTGTTTCAAAGCGGAGGAAGTGATCCATAGTGTCACATGCTGCAGACAGGTCACGTCAGATAAGGGCTGAAAACCAAGCATGGGACTTAGCAATGAGGAAGGCACTGTGATCTTGACAAAACAGATTTATGTGGTGGTGGGAGCAATATCCAGATTGGAATGGATTTGAGAGAAATGGGAGGAAAAGCATGAGAGAATGTACACAACTGTTTTGAGAAATTGCCTGCAAAGGAACAGAAGAATTGGGATATAACTGGAAAAAGGAACTGTCCTGAGGATTCCTCCTCCCCCCTTTTTCCTTAAAGGTAAAAGAAACAAAGTATGTTTGAAAATTAATGGGCATGATCCCGTAAAGAGCAAGAGGATGACAGAGTGAGAGGTGGTCTGTCCTTGACTAGACCAGAGGGCATAGGATTTAGTGTACAAACAGAGGGCTTGGTCGTAGGAGCAGGGACAGTTGATAATAACAGGAGGGGAATCAGGGTTTATGGGTGAAATGCTGGTAGGTGAGGTGGGAGCTTATGGAAGTAATTTTTTGATGGCTTCAAATTTCTCAGTAAAATAGGAAGGAAAGGTCAAGTGAAAGAGGATAGAGAAGGAAGGAATGAAAAGAGAAGTATGAAATAGTTGTCTAGGGCCAGGGCCAGCAAACTTTTCCTATGAAAGGCCAGATATTTTCATTTTTGCTGGCCATCAGGTTTGTGTTGCCGGTACTCACCTCTCCCATTGTGTACTGTGAAAGCAGCTGGGGATGGCATGTTAACCCGTGAATGTGGCTCTAATTTGCAGGCTGCTCTGAGACAGTGGGAGGAGTGGAGTGCCCAGGACAGCATCACATGATTGCCAGGCAGTTTTAAAGGCTCACTTGAGATTTGTGTCCATGGATTTAAAGTGAGACTGGTGTGACTGTGTTTTTCTCCAGCCACATTCAGAATAGGTGGAGAGTTGTGTCCAGGTTAATTTTGTTAAGAACTATGAAGTGAGAGTGGGACTAAGGAGTGGCTAGTATTTGATGATGGAATTTAAGTTGGGTGAGCAGCGAAGTGAGGAACAGAGGCAAAGACCAATGGATGAGAAAACCAGGTGGTGGAGGAAGAACTGACTCAGCAGAGTAGAAGGAGTGAGCTACAATGGTAGGAGGAGATAGTGCCATGGTGTGCTTGACATTGAGATTATAGAAGGACTGAATTTATTGGTAGTGACAAAGATATTGAGTGAGTGCCTGCGGTAGGCAGAGTAGGTAAGTAGGTAGGAGGTAAAGGTTATTGGAGGGGAGGAACTAAGAGGTAAGGATAGTGGAAGGATCATGTATATCTATAAGGATATTGAAATCACTAATAATTCAAATAGTAATGGTATTAGAGAATGATAACTGAAGCAAAATTCTTAAATAAGGCAGCATAGCCCAAGGGTCAGAGGTGACTGGAAAAAGAAATGCTAGTGGAAGATAAACTCTCATGGCATGAGCTTCTGAAGAACCCACGATCACACTTTGGTACTAGGGTCATGGAAGAAAAAAACAAAAACAGCCACCATATGAGAAAGTGGCATCCTCAGAGGACAACATATTTCTGTAAAAGCAAGGAGGTCAGGGAAATATTTGGAGAAATGGATGAGAATAGAGATTTGCTGTTGATGGGTCTTAAGTTCCAGAGGGCACAGTAAGGGTTTGAAGAAATTGGAGAAAAGTGGGCAGTGGACATGGAAGTAGGGAATGTTGTTGTTCGAGCTCTATGATAATTAGAAAGTGGGAGAGGAGGGCCACCTGACCACTGAGGAGGAAGATCCCACCCAGACAGCTCTCCAGCGGTACTGATGCCCCAGCACTGTGTCCTCATTCCTCCCTCACCGAGCTCTCCTCTGAACCCCTGTGTCTGTACTAGAGCACCAGTCTACTTGAATACGTTTTCCTACAACCTTAAGTGTAACGTGTAACTTTCACATGCTCCCACTTTGGAATCACCAGTTGCTTTTTAGGAACCTTCTTTCCTGTTCCTCCTTATCCTCAGTCTAGCCATCAGCCTCTGGTGATGTCATTTCTGTCTAGTTAGCCCACATTTCTTAGCCTCTTGGTTCTCTTAGAGAGCAGTACTCTAAAATCCAATTTTAGTCCAATTTTACTGTGGTATGATACATTCCTAAACAGGGGAGTGAGAATGAAAATGAGGAGGAACTTACATGCTGTTACATATTAGACTTTTCTCAAAGCTTCTGGAGAATCCAGAAGTAAATTTTTGCAAAGGGCTAGTTAAGAGAGAGGCTACAATTTGTTAACTTTGTTCAGCAATTTTAACTGAATGAAGGGAGAGCAGCTGCCAGGTGGTGAACAAGGAGGGACTTGGCTCTGATCACTGGACTCGGGCTCCATCAACAACAGCTGCAGCTGTGGAGTCTCAGGAGGCCCTGGAGGCTTCCAGAAATGCCCCCCTCCTCCATCTCACACACCACACTAATTCTCACAGCACATTCCAAGTTACTGGTAGTTAGGAAGGCTTAGTCTCCCACAGATGGACAACTATATATATACTAGATGCCCGATGCACGAAATTCATGCAAGGGGCTCAGCCCTCACAGCCTGGCTTCGTCCGGAAGGTCATCTGGAAGGTCATTTGGCTGTACGGTCTCATTAGTATATTATACTTTTATTTTTGTAGATATTAATCCTCACCAGAGGATATGTTTTTATTGATTTTAGGGAGAGGGAGAAGGAGAGAGAGAATCATCAATGTGAGAGAGAAACATCGATCACTTGTCTCCTGTACGCACCCTGATCAGGGGATCAAGCCTATGACCTTTTGGTGTACAGGATGATACTCCAACCAATTGAGCCACTTTGGCCAGGGCACGATTATTTTCTTAATGAATGTATTTTCTTGCCTCCAACTCAGAAGACTGTAGCACGCTCTTCCCATCATAGGAAGAAATGTTGGCACTGTGAGAGAATATAAATGTGTATAAATAGGCCATCATGTCTGGGTTCTGGGAATGATGACTTTCTCTGATTTCTGTCACTACAGAATAGGTGGATGACCCATTTGTCATCTCATTGAGACATAGTGACATTGTACAGGTGAGCACCCATACACAAACGAGAATTTCTTGATTGTACAGAGATCACCATACACCCAGGGAATCTCTGCAGCTTGTAATGCTTACAGGACAATGGGCTTAGGTGACACTTCTCTACCAGGGGGCCAGGCTAGATGCTCTTCAAGAACTTTGCTCAAGTGCTCAGAATTTGTGCCGTGAAGTAGTTTCTTGTCCATTTCCTGGAAACTTATTTTAGCCCTGGCCACAAACCTCAGTGTGTTCTCATCTGAACATGAGTCATCCCAGTTGTTACCCAGTAGCTACGTTACACACAGAGCCTGCATTGCAAAGAGCTTTGACACAATGTCCTTTCCTCCTGACAGCCAAGAAAGCTGCCGTGAATTTACTGGGTGATGAAAAGAAGAGCACCTAAACCACCCACAGGATGAAACCCTCCTGCCCTCCGCACCTTCCTATTGGAGCTTGATGTTGTGTTGGGGACTGTGGTATAATCATTTTAATGTTGCCTTGGAAACATTTTTGATATGTTAAAAAATGGAATGTGTGTAAATATTTTTTTGCTTTTACTGTCTAAATACATAGGGAGCATTTTAATTTAAATGTAATGCAATGGGCAGTATCTAAAACTTTGGAAACTATATTTTGCCTCTGGATAGGGAATGTGTTACCATCCTGCAGGAAACATAAACTTAAAATTATATATCCCACGGGCTTTGTACTTCAATGGGCTCTCTCTGCATGCATTTTCTCTGTACTCCTTAAGGTTCTACTTCATGTAATGTACAATTTTGTATTAAATGTTTTGAATGTAGTTGTGCATATGTATATGTAGGGAAATGTGCTGACTGTAACATGCGTGATGCTCATGAGCACCTGCCAAAAGCTGGAGGTTCTGTTGTGCTGGTGAGATCTGCTGAAGGGATTTAAGCGATAAATGAGGTTGAATGCAGGTTGGCCTGTTGTTTTCCTAATGCAGCAGCAGAATACTGGAACAGCTTTGTAAAGCAGTCACTGTGCTGCTCAATGGGGAAATAAATGTACACACATCAGTGATCTGCAGCTCCCACTTCCCTATAGAACCAGTAATACTGTCTTGTGGCCTGTTGATAATCTGCTGCTAAGCTTTAGATTTGTCTGTTTTTGAGATGCTAAAATGGAAATCATCCCTGGTTTCACCTTCAGTGCTGACATGTTGGTATAGTCTTGCTTCTTTCCGAGTCTTTTTTTTTTAACCATCTGAAAGACCCCCTGGAGACTTGCCCGCCTCTGATTACATATATGTTCTTGTTTATACCATTAGCTAGCAGTACATGCTAATGATGACACAGGCTCTAAGAGCAGTTCTGGGAAACAGAAAGGAAGTTTGGTATAACCTGTAGTCTAGTTGGCAGTGGTTAAGTCTAACTGCCTTCACCTTCTTTCTCGGGCCTTTAAAGTCAAACACATGAGGCCTCCCTAGTCTGCAAGTCAGAGTCATTTGTAATATGTTTAAATGCCTTCATCTTTATGCTTTGTTTTAACACATTGCATATAACTACATAGTTTAAGTATAGAACAAAAAAGTTGAAATCAGTGTCTCCATAGTTTGATCAGCCAAGTAGCTTACAGAGACTATGGCAGCTTGTCTGGGCTAGAGAAACTGAGCTCTGCACCAGCCATACTGCAAGGATCTTCTGGGTCAGACTAAACTGACTGAAGAGTATAACCAAACTATCAGGGTGAAATATCCAGCCTGTAAAATGTTTTTTCAGGCAAATAAAGATAGTTCTCATTTCAATAACAATTAGATAAGGTCATAATGATCTCTCATGATGTAAAAAATATTAAAGATATCAAAAATAAGAGACAGTATCACCCAAACATTTATGGATTAGGGCATTTATTTTTTTCTGGGGAAAATTAAATCATAAGGCATCTTGTTACATTTACCTTAAAAAACTTAGAAAGCAAACAACTACTATTTGGAGAAAAATCAAGCCTTAGATTTAATATTTAAATCTCTTTCCCTATAAAAAAAGTATGTCTTTCTTGGTGCAAAAGAATGAAAATTAGCAACCTCTAGCTTACAGAACATACAGATTATTAGTATATATATTTTCAGGCAAAATGGGAGGCATAAAAGTTACTATTGCTTAAAGCTACTAATAGGCTAATGTCAGTTTAAAAACTATAATAAGAAAAAACATTCTGAATGCAGGTTTTTGTCTTGGTAACTTTCTCCCACAGTGTATTATGGAAGAAATTTGTTACTGTTTTTCGTAGTGAAAGACAGGAGGAGTTTTGAGTTGAACAATTCTGTTTCAGCTTTGATTTCCCAAGTAACGTACTGCCATGCTAGAGTATTTGAAAAACTAATTGAGCCTGTGTCTAGCTAGAAGACAAGCATTTATTTGTACATGAGTGGTATTTTGGGGGATTATAAAGTTATAGAATCCCTACAGCAATTCTTTCTCTACTTGAAAGGTTTCAGATCAACAATTACTGCTACTCTGGAGAGTCTGCCCACAGCCTGAAGAAAATGAGCATAGCCTTTCACTACGTTACTGCCTGTCCTGAAGATGTGATCTATTGAATGGATATGGATGTAAATAAAATGCCATTGTCTCACTGAACTGTTACATTTCATTTTATTTTGTAGGGCCTTAAAAAAAATCTAGACTAATTTATGCAAAACCTGAATACTGATAAATGAACCCTAAACACTGCTGTTTATTAATCCTATTCCTTATCTGCCTGTGCTTTTCCCCTGGTGATTACTACTCGTCAGTTAGACTTTCCCTAAAGAAAACATACCAACCAAAAAAGGTTTCTATCAATAATTCGTAATAGATTTAAAAGAAATCTAAACCACTGCTTTCTACTCACCTATTGCATTACACACATCTCATGACATGTTGGTGTATTGTACATACTTTGATGAAGTAAACACTTCTATGTGCCTCCAAATTATTCTGTACTTTGCTACTTAGAACTTGAGGATTTTTTAAAAAATACCTACTGCTGGAGGGTGTGTTAGCTTTGTCTCCTACATCTGCCTTTACATGTCTATGTATCTGCAGACAATCTGTATGTGTGGGCAAACTACGGCCTGCGGGCCAGATCCGGCCCGTTTGAAATGAATAAAACTTAAAAAAAAAAAGACCGTACCCTTTTATGTAATGATGTTTACTTTGAATTTATATTAGTTCACACAAACACTCCATCCATGCTTTTGTTCCGGCTCTCCGGTCCAGTTTAAGAACCCATTGTGGCCCTCAAGTCAAAAAGTTTGCCCACCCCTGGTTTAGAATAACATATGATTCAGATCCTTAGCCATCAAATATTATAGTTCTATACAGTATGGCAGGAAAGTAAATATATTTGAGAATGACCTTAACTAAAAGTTTTCCTGGCTGCTTACACTATATTCTTATAACATCTCTATATAACACACACTTCAGAAATTAAGAGTGATAAGGAGGTTCTTTGGTTAGACAGTGGTTCTCAGACTTCAGTGTGCACCAGAATTGGGGGGCCGGTTGTTAAAACACAGGTAGCTGGCCCCACCCCCAACGTGTCTAACTCAGTAGGTCTGGGGCAGGGCTGAACAGTTTAAATTTTCAACAAGTTCCCAGGTGGTGATGGTTCAGGAACCACATTTTAAGATAAAACCACACTGTTAGGTAAATGTTATTTTTACACTTAGCTTTACAGAGGTTTTCAGACCTGGCTGCACATTACAATCAAGGAGTTTTCTAAAAATACTGGTATGAGATTCCATTATCAGAAACCGACAGTCTCAGGTGCCAGTATGCTTCCAAAAGTCTTCAGGTGATTCTAATATGTAGCCAGAGAAAGCAAAGCAGGGCTGGAGGGGTGAAGGGGAGTGGACCTCTGGGATTGGATAAAAAGTAAAATGATAGACACACGCCTCTTTTATATAGAACGGTACAGGATACTTAACAGTCAATGATTAACATAACAATGAGGGAATTTGTGGTCTCTGTCCAGGTGCCCTAGTGCATTGGTTGTGCCCTGAGGCGTCTGGAAAAAAGGGAAGTTACAAGTTACCCTGACATTCCAATGTTATATTATTATAGACAACAAACAGGCTTAGTTGAGGTAAAGATTGACTTTTGCCAGGGAAGAATCTAGCCTAGGACATGACTACCTGCCATAAACTGCTTTTAGTTAAAAAGTTTTAATTTCAGACCATCCTTATGGTAACTAGGTCTCTAGAGTTTACAAGGCGACCACACAGGCCTTCCCTGAGCCAGCATGTGGCCCCTTTTGTCTACACTGCTGAGACATTACCACACATATATTGGCTTAAAACAACTCGAATGCATTAGCTTACTGTTCTGGAAGTCAGACATCCAAAATGGCTTGGCAGGACTGCATTCCTTCTGGGCACTGGAGAATCCCTTTACTTGCTTTTTTCACCTTCAAGACTGCCTGCGTTTCTCGGCTGAGTGCTTGTGATTACATTGGGCCCACCTGGACAGCCCAGGATACAGGCTTACCTTGTTTTATTGCGCTTCACAGGTCTGTTTTTTACAAAATGAAGGCAAGACCCTCCACCAGCAAAAAGATTACAACTCGCTTTATTGTGATACTTGCTTTATTATGAAGGTCCAGAACTGAACCCACAGTATCTCTGAAATATGCCTATACTCTCTCCAGCTCCTTAATTACATCTGCAAAGTCTCCTTTGCTATGTGAAGTAACATAATCACAGGCTTTTGGGGGGAGGGGCTTTATGCTGCCTACCCTACCTAGTCTCTCTCTGGATACAGAAATTTCATTATGAAGTCACACCCAATATAAAAATAAATGTAAAGAGAAATCTTAATGTTGGGAGGGAACTAAAATAAGGAGGGTTAGTGAAAAACTAACCCTTATCTTCTCCACACAGTAAGAGGATCTTTGAAACACAGGCAGAGCTGAGGGACAGAAGTTGAGTAAAAAACAGGATTCGGTGACTAAAAACTGAGAACCATTTCCCCACCCACCTCCTCCCACTCAGCTCCCAGGAAGGAGCTCTGGGAAAGCGGATCAGCTTAAGAGAAAAACACGTGAGCCAGAGAAAAACACCTTTAGTGAAACTCAGTACGCCAGCTCTTGTGTGCTCAACTTCCAATCAGCTTCTTGATCTTTCACTCTGAAAAAAATCCCACCAATCTAAAGCAAGCCATTTAACACGACAGGGATCAAAATAAAAACAGAAGAAAAAAGTTAGAAAAGAATGTAAATCATACTCTGAGAAATAAGAAATTATATCCATGAAAAACAGAATGCTAAAAAAAAAAAAGGAAACAGATGACAAGAGCCTAGACCAGTGAAGGCGAACCTATGACACGCATGTCAGAGGTGACACACGAACTCATTTTTTTGGTTGATTTTTCTTTGTTAAATGGCATTTAAATATATAAAATAAATATCAAAAATATAAGTCTGTTTTACTATGGTTGCAAATATCAAAAAATTTCTATATGTGACACGGCATCAGAGTTAAGTTAGGGTTTTTCAAAATGCTGACACGCCGAGCTCAAAAGGTTCGCCATCACTGGCCTAGACAAGTTAAAAACACAAGAAAAGTGAAAAAAAATTCAATAGAAAGGTTGAAAGATAAAGCTGAGGAATTCTAGGAAATAGAACATATAGGCAAAGAAATGAAAATGAGAAAAAGATAAGAAAATGAGGACTAGTCCATCATGTCCAATATTCAAATCAGAGGTGTCCAATGAAGATCAGAAAGGGAAGAAAAATCATCAATGAAATTTTCAAGAAAATTTCCCAGAACTTGAGAACACAAGTCTTCAGATTGAAAGGGCCCATTTAGTACCCGGCTTGATGGGCAAAAAGACCCACCCCACAGGAAGCACACTATTTCCGAACACTGAGATGTTGCAGGTTTCAACAGGCTAATGTGGTTACAAGAGACCATGAACTAGAATGGCTTGGATTTTTCTTCAACTATAACAGAAGTCAGAAGACCATGAAATAATGCCCTTGAACTTCTGAAATAAGATGATTTCCAAGGCTAATTTTATACCCAGCCCAACAGTGG